TTTTTATGTTGTTGAGCATAGTGGAAATGCCCACTGTCATGTTTGTTCATATAAACTGTCAAGAAACATGTTTCACTATGTATTGAATTTCTTCTGCTCAATTCCAAAAAAAACAGGAGCGGTAATAAAGAGTTGTTAAGAGGTTGTTTCCTCCTTTATGAACATGCTGATCTCTGGTAGCCTATTTGGCCGCTGGCCTGTGAGTAAGCCAAATGAAATTCAGTTTTCTTATCTGGCTGTTGGCCTAAATATGAATAAGCATATTTCCGAAAACTTTGACTCTATTAGATTTGTGGTCTCTTAATGCTCTTAAGCAGGTGTTTAAAGCCTACCAGAGAGGAGCAACATCTCTGAGATGTTTTATTTACCACCCTGCCTGCCAAAAAGGATTAAACCTAAACAGGAGATCAGTACAAACTCTGTGCAGCTTGTTTGAAACCTCTGGATATGATTGGAATATGAGCAGAGTTTATCCCAGGGCCCCGTGAGTCTTTTTTCCCCTGACCTGATTTATTTCTGCTTTTATACAAAGAGGAGCTCAAGCCAGCAAAGTTACAATCTGCCGGGATGGTTTTCATTTCCAAACATCCTTGTTTAGCAACTTCGAACCTAAACAAGTGGGAGATTTAGGAAATGTAGCTGTTCCTTGTTCACCTTCACCCACACAGTCCTCCACCACACCCTTATTGAGAACCTGTTTTTGCTGTGTGACACACCCTGTTTCAGATGCCTGTGGATGTGGGCAGGACTGTATGTTCACATCACTGTCACCAATGACAGCAGCCTTACTCATCCCTTTTGTCACACCAGAGACGTCCTCCCCTTATCTGATAGTTTCAGCAGTTTTTTGACATGACTGGTTAGTCAGAAGTGGATAAATGAAAAACAGTGGAAAAAGCATAAAGGAGGGTTTGCAGTGGAAGCTTTGCAGTCTGACATATCGAGTATGTGGTGTTAGCGTGGAATGTCACACTAGTGTTTCAGTTGGAAAGTGTCCACGCCTGCTTTGTCTGTTGCAACTTGCTCTCTGGCAGCTTTTCACTGATGCACATTCCTGGTTTTACTGTGAATGCTTTCTGTGGAAGAAGCCTCCTGAAGTCATCTTGTTGCCCAACAAGATGGGTGGGAGGCGCCTGGTGTGAAATGCTGGTTTCTCCCAGAGCTGGGCCCCTGTGTTACTGTTACTGTGTCAGTGTGGGTGGACAGTAGTAAAGAGCAATACACTGCGAGGACAATGAAGGCATCACTTATTAACCAGAGGAGGGTAAAGTCCAGTCTGAAGTTCAAGATACGACTAAGCATTTAACCAGAAACTGCCTGATAAGACTCGAAACTTGGCAGCATGAGGACATAGACAGATTTTACATCCAGTTTTACAATTATTTTTAATTTAAACTGATACAATTTTAATATAGAAGTGTCTTATCACCTTTCATAATGGTTTAGGAATTAAAAAAGAAAGAAATTGGGTTACCATACAGGGAGTAGCTCTTATCGAAAAAAACAAACAAAATGTCCTAGACGAGAGACATGAGATTGGCCAGGAGATAAAACAAAACAGAGCCCTGTATGTTGGCAAGATTATCGGCAGGGCGTGTCACTAGACTGTAACAGTTGACTGAACCCGCTGCCTCAGGAGCAACAAAGCAGCACAAATGCTGTCTCTGATTTTTCAGGAAAGAAAAAAAAAAGACGCTGTCCAAAACGGTGTTTAACATTCAGATGTTAAACACAGCTCTGAAAAATGCAGGGAAGATGACGGGTGTATGATTATTTTTTTATATATCCGACGAAAAGCCGCGCCTATTAGTTAGAAAGGTGAAGGTGGATGTTGACTGTAAAAGCAGTTGTATGTAGATACCTGGTGAGTCAGTGCATCATGTAGCTGCAAGTAGAGACAGTCCTCAGGGGCAGTGCCAGATTCACTGCAGCTGAAACTCGTAGAGCTGCTCATGTGAAGGTGAACGGAGATAAAGAAACATGTTGAGACATTACGAGACTATCAGGTTTATGTAAAAGTATTTTTCTTCTAAAGCTGGGAGAAACGCGTTCAATGCAATTTAAAAACCAATGAAAGAAACATGCAAACATATTGGAGTTAACAGAGATAAATAAGCTGGGGTTATATATATTGGAGTCACTTCAGACTCATGTTAATAAGCTGCACTTAAAAGATAATTCCAACTTATTTTCTCAAGTTACAACCACATACGTCAGTCGGTTTTATTGGGCCTGATTAGGGTGATAGGAAAATGATACACAGGGTCAAAGGCAGTTAAAAATTTTTAATGCTTGTGTGCATCCCCTCTACAGCGCTACCCCTCAATAAAATCCAGTGCAGCTAGCTGCTTCGTGAGGTCTTTTAATTAGGAAACATTGTCCACCTGTGTGTAATGTAATCTAATTATACATGCAAGGTTTGTTGAAGAGTTTTAAACCAAAGCCAGCAGTAATACTAGACGGGCAGCAAGAAAGATGCTGTTTAAAGCGGCTTTATAACTCTGTACATTCAATAAAGTGCATTTCAGCTCATCATTTGAAATTACAAAGACACAATTTCCAAAACATGGCCGTCCAGCTTTGCTGAGAGGTTCGGCCAGGAAAGCGTTGATCAAAGAAGCAGCCAACAGATCTGTGGTTAAACTGGAGAAGCTGCTGTGATCCACAAGACAGGTGGGAAAACTGTTAGTGGGACCAAAGATTGCAGATATCTGTTGTAGACTTGACTGAGCTTGGCCTACTTTACAATATTAATATTTTACAGTAATGAGAAAGGGCAATGAATACAGTCTCTTGATGGAAGAGACAAACACCCAAAATATTAGGGCTCATTGATTTTCCCAAAAAAAATTTTTTTTCCAAACCCCAAAAAATTATTTAGATTTTTCCTTTTATTTACCACAATTATGTCGATTTATTGTTTTCATGGCCTTGAAGGCTTTCTTGTCCAGAGTCAATAGTACAAGGCTTTACTTTTGCGTGGAAAATTGCTTATTTCCACTCGTATGCATGGATCTGCTAACTACAACTCTCTCTTTTATTTTGTGTGGCAGCAAACCAACTTGAACTGTACCTCCACCTGAAGAGCTGGAGTGAAAAAGTCTGTAGTTGCTCTGTTAAATGTAATTAGACCAAAATTGCAAATCTGCTATTTGAAAATTGAGTTGTTGTTTTTTTATTGCGTTTATGGTGCAAAAGCAATTAATTGTCCAGCCTTTCTAAATATTTATAGTTGCATCTATAGGTAGTTTTATGAAGTATTTTCTCAGGTGGGGCTTAACTCTGATACACACACAGCATAGAATATTTTCAGATGGTTTTATCGTCCTTTTAGTTTACAATAGGATGTTTTTTTCCCTCTAATTCCAGTTAAAAATATCAGAAATGAGTCTGCTAAATGGTATGATGGCACAGCGCTATAGAAAGGGGCAATGGTGGTCTATTGGTTTTAAGAGTTGGACCTTCAAAATCCCCTGTTTAAAAAAAAGACTACTACTCTGGTTCCATCAGAAACAGAACCCCAGGTGCAAAAAGCTGCTCATTGCTACTTAATTGATTAGTTAAATTCAGAGAACAAATTTATTTTGAATTTAAAATCACAATGACGAAGGTAAAAGTGCATTTTCGGCTAAAAAGAAAGGCTTTATTCCCTGTACTTTACTCACTGCTGCCCTGATCTTGTTTTGATGGCTCACTTTCTACTAACGTAGCAGCTCTACATTATGTACTTTTGCCAGGGCTTCTTTTATTTGTTATAATAATGGATGATTCACATGAATGCCTATTGCTGCAGTAAAACCGCAGGTCCCACTGCAGCTTCAGGGATGGATCTTTTTATTTTTTTTAAGCTATTGTCTTGTTCTTTGAAATCTTTGTATACTTCAAGTCCATCTTTAGTGCTTGTGAAACATGCACACAATGTGGCCCAGCAATTTGCCTAACAAAGCGTCCTGTAACAGCTAAACATCTGAAAGCACTTGAAAGCAGCACAGTGTACGCATTGTGCCTTTTAGTCATGTGTCACAGGCAATGGCAGGCAGCTATTGTAAATGCAGATTTGTTTTTAAGGGAGTTTCTGTGGTGAATGTCATCCGAGCTGCAGAAATGTGGCTAAAACATTTCCATGCACGTCCCAATAGTCTCTGTTTACTCTGGAAAATAAAGACATTGCACTAGAGATTCTAGTGCACAAAGTGAAAATATTAAAATTGATCAATAAATCGTGGGCTCAAGCTATATTCTAATGCAATGTGTTACAAACAGGTGCATTGATGTTATTACAAAATGCATACATGTCTATAGATGCTGTATCTTGTTTAAGTAATGATTGCTAATGCAGTTTGGTGGTTGATTATCAGGGAAGTAAGATGATGTTCTGAGGTTTAGAGCAAACAAACAACATAAACTTGCAGCCTGGAGAGATGCAAACATAAAATTACACAACTCAAGCTGTTGATTATATGAAGATATTTTAAAGCCAAACATATGGGATATTAAGTGCTTTGTTTTTTGTGGGCTGAGGCGATGGCGCACTGTATATGCAAATGCTCCAGGGTTCACCAGAACCTAAACTTGACCAGCGAGTTGATGATTGTCATACTTCACCAGGAGGCTGCTCTCATGCTGTTTGGGTGGGGACCTGGGGTTAAAGGTCGGCATGAAGAATTTCTGACGTGCAGCTGTCTCTCCGCCCATTTTGCCCTCCCTCCTCCTGAAACCACGCTGCCGCTGCTGCTGCTGCTGCTTTCGCTGCTGCTGCTGCTGCTGCTTTGTGTTGTCGTTTTCAGGTCAGAGTGCCTGGCTGCAGGGTAGGAGGGTCCAGCTCAGGATCTGTCACGCTGGCAGATGAGAAAGCAAAATGACAGGGCTTGTGCAAGGAGGCAGAGAGCGTGCCAGAATGTTTAGTAATTGGTGAAAGATCAGCGCGCAGTCAGATGTTTTATCATTTGGATTAAGGATATTCCTGGGAAATCATTGCTGTATTTCTCTACATATTTCAGGTTTGTTCCATCGTTGCTCCTTTGATAACAAGAGACAAGGATGGCGATGCAAAGTAAGTGATGCAGCTCCTATTTTATTCATTTCTCTGCAATGATCCCATTTTGTACTGTTATGATCATGTTTATATTTTCAATGCATGTTTCTGTAATTAAGCATAATGTTGAATTTTATTTCGCCCCCCTTCGCTCACTTGTACATCTATTTAACAATACATGAAGTGTTTAATCCTTTTTTTTTTTCCATATGCAAAATTAATTAGCACCTTTCAACATCACAGCCCAACAACATGCTGCAGCTCTTAGAGATTTATCACTTTCACCAATTTAAAGCTGATTAAAATATAAATGCTGAGCATTTTATAGTCAATATTTGATCTCATGCCAGTATGTACGATATTTCCAGGTCCTAGATGATTAAATGGGATCATTGCCAGAAATAATTTCAACACAGAACTAAATGTAAATGGGATAAAAAAACGGTTTATCAATAGAATTGAGTTAATTAACTTGATAACTTGATGTAATATTTATACCCTTTATCTCTAATGTGCTGTATGTACTAATGACAATCTATTTTGCAAGGGAAGGTTTGTTAAACTTCAATATAGGTTAATGCAATAAAAGGATAAACTGTGGATATTTTCGACAATAAAGAATATCCAACATGCTAGTTTGACAGATTTTATGTTTTTGGTCTTAAGTTAACTGGCTAAAAAAAGGTTAAAAAGAATAAACTAAAGATTTCAGAATGACTCACTTAGATTAAAATCCTGTGGTCCAAAAAGGATTATTTCTTTAATGCCTATAATAATAGTTTTGAATAGAAAGAAAATGTACATTTTTTACACACATTTTTCACCAGATGGTTCTTAAAATGTGGAAATGCACTGTCATTGTTTCTGACCTTCATTTATGTTTTTTGTCTTGTCAGTGGGTGAGATGGATCGGGGCAGGGTAAAGGTTCAAGAGTGGCAGGAGACGATGTACGGGCTGGACTCTGGCATCCAGTCTGGAGCCACCACCTATAGAGACGACGATGGCGAGTACACAACTTCCACACGCTATGTCAAAACCACCACCATCTCCAGGGAGGAGCCTGGTGAGGCAAATAATTTAACTTACCAGTTTTCTGTAAATGAGTCTCTCTTTATGATTATATTGATCACCATTTTCCTTCTTTCCAGACCTGGAAAGCCAGTTGACGCTGAGCAGAACACAGCGGGTTCGGGCTGCAATGTTCCCGGAAACACTGGAGGAAGGCACCACCATCCTGTCGACCCAGACAGACCCAGCCCAGATGACCAATGTGCAGCGGCTGGCCGAGCCATCACAGATGCTCAAACAGGCCATCATCCACCTGATCAACTACCAAGATGATGCCGAGTTGGCCACAAGGGCCATCCCAGAGCTTACTAAACTTCTCAATGATGAAGATCAGGTAATGAACATGAAGACATGCACCCTTACGTTTATGCAAAATCAAACTAGCTAGGCTAAAATATAGTTGCACAAGAATTGCAGAAATTATGAATTTTTTAATAACATTTTTTTTTATCATGAAAGTATTTTAGCTATCATTTCAATAATAAAATACAAACGCCCCCCTCCCTAACTGTCAATCCTTTGGACAGGTGGTGGTCGGCAAGGCGGCACAGATTGTGAACCAGCTCACCCGTCAGGAGGCCTCGCGGCGTGCCCTCATGCAGTCCCCTCAGATTGTGGCGGCGGTGGTCCGGGCCATGCAGAACACAAACGACATGGAGACGACCAAGGCCACAGCCAGTATCCTCCACAACCTGTCCCACCAGAGGGAGGGTCTGCTGGGCATCTTCAAGTCAGGAGGGATCCCCGCTCTTGTCCGTATGCTCAGGTACCGCCTCCTCAATGTCGCCTTCTGCTTAATTTATTGCTCTGTCACTGGGTATTTAAGTCATTGGTTCTGGAACGATGAAAAGTTTGCCATATTCTAGATTTTATGCAAATATACTTTTAAATAAGATTTGCTACCTTCTTAATTTACTCACCTATAGCCTTTCGTGTGCTCCATTTTGTTAAGTTTTGTTAAAGCCAACGATGTTTTGTTCCAACAATAGATTTTTAACCCCTTTCTGCTGCACTAACATAGGTTAAGCTGCCATAACAATTTGACGGCACATCACCTGAATAATCAGAGCTTTATAATTTTTCTATGGATATATCCATCTCAACACATGCAGCTGTAGTATTTCTTGTTTTATATCATGTCTTGCTCTTCATAATGTATTTTCCCCGATGTGCCTGGCTGACCTTGCTACGATTAAATGAGTCTCATTGATTGTTTGGCTCACAGTACGTGGTGTTAAAAGTGAATCATACACGATTAACCTTTACAGTAAAATTATTCTGCCCTTCAATAAACGTAGTTCAGTTCTCTCAATGTTGTCAACTCGAATGACGATGGTTGTTTGTTTTACAAGTCTCCCACACCCTGAGGTTATGTAAGGACAACTGGCAGAGCCGGTGACCCAACAAAAATCGGTTGTCGTTTGTTCACAGACAATGAGTCAGATGTTTAAAACTTTGTAAATGACACAGCAGTGTTGCATGTCAAAACTTCTCTAGAATTATACAGTACCATACATGCTTTTAAGATAATAGAGAATAAAAAAAAAAAAATGATCATGGGAGAAACTTTCTGTACCAACTTTAGTTTCACTCTTGTGCACCAGGGCAGAAAAGGCCATGAATTGCTGGGTCCCATGCAGATTTCAGTAACAGACTATCACATTATTGTTCTGATTAATAAGTGGAAGCAATTTTCTTATATTTTTTTATTCATTTTATGAATGAATAAACATTTTATGTAGATGAAAATATGGGTGGCTCTAATTTAAGTCCTGTAAAAAGGTTGAACTAGAACTTAATTCTATGATAAATTTCCCTCGTGATGCTAATGAATTTGTCTCCATTATGTCTTAATAGGACTTAAACAGACATTCCTTTGTGATTATATAGTTACAGGACATTTGGTCAACTAGAACTTAGAAAGATATAGTCATAATGCCAATTTTTTCTGTAATCATACACTTTTTTTTTTCCTTGTCTTGTTCAGCTCTCCTATGGAGTCTGTGCTCTTCTATGCCATCACCACACTTCACAACCTGCTGCTGCACCAGGAGGGAGCCAAAATGGCTGTGCGTCTGGCTGATGGACTGCAGAGGATGATCCCACTGCTAAAGAAGAGGAACCCCAAGTTCCTGGCCATCACCACGGACTGCCTGCAGCTGCTGTCCTACGGCAACCAGGAGAGCAAGGTGTGTGTCTGTTTTTGGGACATTCTGTGTTCTTGCAGATGAGACACATACTTGGAGTGCTGCCAAATACTGCAGTGGGAAGATGTGTTTTTGTTGGGTGTGGCATGTGAACCGAGCTGTTTAGGTGCTGGCATGGTGATGTTATGGGTGCAGTTATATTGTTAACGATTAGAGTAATGGGGAAACTGTCGGAAATATTGGTAATCTGCCCGGAGAAGCTATGGCTTTGTGATGTCTGAGTTAATACCCTCTGGGTGAAGATTAAATGAATTTAGGGTAGTCTATTTATTATTAACATTGTGTCTGTGATTAACAGCTAATAATCCTCGCCAATGGTGGTCCAGAGGGTCTTGTTGATATCATGAAAAACAACAGCTATGAGAAGCTGCTGTGGACCACCAGCCGTGTCCTCAAAGTCCTCTCTGTGTGCCCCAGCAACAAACCAGCCATTGTAGAAGCTGGTATGTAATTTGTTTTGTATGTGAGAGAACACACCTGTCTGAGCAGAGGAGTTATGGGGTGCATTTTTATTTTTTGCTGTACTGAGGCCCCAACACACAGGGCCTCAGTTTATAAGATGTTGTTGGGAGCTGAGGGGTTTTCTTCTGTCTCCTCAGGTGGAATGCAGGCTTTGGGAAAACACCTGCAGGGCGGCAGCCAGCGTTTGGTACAGAACTGCCTGTGGACTCTCAGGAACCTGTCAGACGCTGCAACTAAGCAGGTCTGAATTCCTTTCTCAAACAACCAATTTTTTTTTTTTTTTTATCTGGCACACAACTAATCTGAAGTGGATTTTTCTTTTTCTCTCCAGGAAGGAGTTGATAACCTGCTGCAACTTCTGGTGGGGCTCCTCTCCTCACAGGACCTCAACATGCTCACCTGTGCCACCGGCATCCTGTCCAACCTCACATGCAACAACAGCAACAACAAATCTCTGGTCACCCAGAGCAACGGAGTAGAGGCGCTGATCCATGCCATACTGCGTGCTCCAGAGAAGGAGGATGTGACTGAGCCGGCAGTTTGCGCTCTGCGGCATCTGACTTCGCGACACCAGCATGCCGAGCTGGCGCAGCACGCTGTGAGGAATAGCTACGGCATCCCGGCTATCGTCAAGCTGCTCAACCAGCCCTACTACTGGCCCATCATCAAGGTAGAGATATGGATTTAAAAGGACAGAAGGCTGAAATTCAAATTGGTGCAAAGTGTGTTGGTTAAGGGAAGGTGCCACCAGGAAAATAGAAAATGATTTAATGTGGAGTGGTTTAAAGAAAAAAAAAAAGAAAGGAAAACGGGAGTAAAGGAACTCCAAGGTAAATGCTGGAATAGATGAACCAAGAGTATCCAGAAGGTCAAAGTGCTGCTCAGCCTGAAGGAGCATATCTGAAGGAAATGTTTCAATTAAAAACAGAACCAAAAAGTGCTATTTTTAACTTTTATTTTCACACCAATTATGGATATCTTCTGCTAAAAATGTCTTTCCAGTAGTTGATTTTTAATCCCCCCATCTACAGGCTTCTGCTGGCTTAATCCGTAACCTGGCCTTGTGCCCAGAGAACCAGGCCCCCATCAGAGATGCAGGAGGCATCCCTCGTCTGGTTAACCTGCTGCTTAAGGCCCACCAGGATGCTCAGAAACACGATTCCTCCAACCAGCAGACATACCAGGTACCTAATGGCCGCTTCTGGCTTTCACTATCATGTAATGTACCAAATCTTGTTTTTCCACGAATAATGTTTTGGTTTTAAATGGCAGGACGGTGTGAGGATGGAGGAGATTGTGGAGGGTTGCACAGGAGCTTTGCACATCCTAGCAAGAGATCCCATCAACAGAGATGAAATTGCTCACTTAGATACCATTCCCCTCTTTGTTCAGGTAAAAAAATAATAATAATCAAGGTCACGTCTCATTCTAGCAGTATGATCATCTAATGTTAAAACATTACCGTAGTTCTTGCACAAATGAATTTAATTTAACCTGTATGCTGCACACGTTTTCCTACATTTCTGTTTTATAGCTCAGTAAGAATTCTGATGTTTTTATCAAATATAAAAGCAATAATTCCTCTCCTGTTGCAAATTGATTAGTAGTTATAATTATTAGTTATCTTTGACATTTATTGGGCTAGCTGACAGGCAGTGTACAGCAACACATTTAAAGGGGATGATCCAGCCCTACTCTTCAACCCTGCATATCAAAATAGCCTTTATTGAGATGCAGAAACTTTTTAAAGTGTTTGGGGTCAGTCTGCCAATATTGGTAATATTGGCAGATGACTACTGTTTATTTTACTTATGTAATAGATGGCCATCTCTTATCTTCTCCTCTAAATTTCTCCTCTCTTCCTGCAGCTCCTCTACTCTCCAGTGGACAATATAAAGCGTGTGGCGGCAGGTGTTCTGTGTGAAATGTCCCAGGACAAAAATTCAGCCGAGTTGATCGACGCAGAGGGAGCATCAGCTCCCCTGATGGAGCTACTTCACTCCAACAATGAGGGCATCGGTAGGCTGCCTAGATATCCCGGTCCAATTAGCCCATCATCATGTTGCTATGAATCATAATTGGAGAGAAAGGAAATCAATTTATGGAAGTGCAGAACTTACTGTGAGAGCAGTTTCCCGGTATCTGGCTTCAACTTAGTATTTCCAGCATTACTTCTCCTGAACATTTCACTGACACATAGAAAGCTACCATTAGTGTTATTCTAGTTTATTCTTTAAGATATTTTTGTTTTTAGAGATTTTGCATAACTGTTAGTAATTATTTGCTCAACTATACAAAAACATTTACTTGCTGAGAAATAAGTCTAAAAATATTTTTTCTTATTTTTTTGAGTCTTGTAAGTTTTCAGCTCATTTAATCTTTTCCTAGTTGAGATGCTAAACTAAGACATGAGGTTAGTAGCTGGTGGTCTGAGGGGAATCTTTACACCTGCTCTTCACAAAGCTAATTTGTATAACTTTCCAACAGCTAAATTCATGCTATTTGTAAATAATTTATATATATATATATATATATATATCCCGGCCCGGACCGCATGGACCCCTAAATAATAAAGTGTGACCCGTCTCTGTGATCACAAATTGTACACAGCCATTTATAATAACAGGGGCATTGAAGAGCATTGCCTCACACTCTAATCCAGCTATAAATTCACAGAAGGTTTGCCTTATTGCTTTAAAAAAATACTTTTATCTGGATATTTTTGAATCAGTTGATTTTTTTTTAAGACGTAGAGTTAATAAATAAGAAAATATAAATAAGTTTCATTCATGCTCTAACTCTGATACCCATATTTTTTTCTTTTATACCTGTGACCGCACCTGTGACATAATATGTTTGGGTTTTTTTCTACCCGTAGATGTACCGTACGTTTTATACGGGTACCCAACACGGTGCAATAAAAAACATGATAATTTGAGGTTCCGACTTAAAAAGTTCAGAGCACCTTTACAAGAATCTTAATATGACTGCCTCCTGTATACGAAATGAACAGAAAACTTATTTTAAAAACATTGGTTCCTAAACCAGCTGCAGATACAGTGAAATCTACTTGTGTGGAGATTTTCTACTTCAGCCCTTAGACTTTACCAGGATGTATTAATAATGGTAGCCTAGTCACTAAATAAAAATACATTCCATTCAATGCTGGAAAGTGTTATCAATCTGTAGCACTGGTTAAATGATCTATCATTTTATATAAATCTAAACTTTTGTTTTTCCTTTCCTTAGCAGACTGTTTACTCGCACAGCAGCATTTATGCTGTTGAACTTATCCTAAAATGGGCTAAATTCAAACCAGATTGTTTACATGCATTGTGTATCAGATAAACCGCTCATATTCCTGTTTTTGTTGGAGAGCAGAAATTCTGTTGATGACTCATGTCCAAATTATGTCCCCCTGCGGCACTGCAGTGACTGAGCTCATTCAAAACTCTAATTACGTCCACATCCCTCAAAACATTAAGGGCTATCTGGGGGTTTTCCCCCCATCAAACCAAAAGTTACATGTCCTGTGAAGCAGAACTTTGATCATTTATTTTGTATGAAAAGGGCTAGTAAAGTAAGAATAGTTTTTCTTTTTTGTCTTTTAAGATACCGGTATATTTTTCTTTTTAGCATTATATGCAGGTCATCTTTTATAGTGGGGCAATAAAGAACCACTTCAATTTTAATCAACTCTAAAAGTTTATCATTTGGGAAAGTTCCATGTGGGGTAAAAGGCGAAGTTATGACCTCTGAATTACCACACAGTAAGTCAGAGGTGGTGGTCAGGATGGAGGAGAAATTAACCAGACTAGAGACTATTACTGCAAGTCAGACCAATTACCTCCAGATGCTAACCTCAGATAAGGGCGCAACTAAAACGGAACAAAGTATACCAAGATAAAGAGCCTGACAACTTTAATGCCTTGCCACCCCTTTTACTTTTAAACTTTATTTCCTTAATTTTTATATTTCATACAAAAACCAAGCTTCAGTTTTAACAGGCCTATTCTTTTCATTTAGGGAGATTACTCCACTGATCTCTATTTATTCACTGGATTGCTGATAGCCTGTTGGTAGTACAGGGTAGAAGTGAAGCCACCGGCCGCCATATTGGTAATCCCTAGTTTGACCGGTCGCAATGTAAACAATATTTGTACTACAGCATCGAACAATGATTATGTTCTTATTTATGATAAATTCATCACTTTGACACACACTTGCTGTTTCAAAGCATAAGTAGATTACTGAACTTATAATTAAAGAAATAGGCACATCACATTGCATAGTAATTGTGAAGTCAATAAAATCATTTAATATAACCTATTATTCGAAGACATCACAACAAAATGAATGTGTTAATGGAGCATAATAATACAGATGTGCCAAAAGTACTAAATTGATGTACAAGTAATATACATATTACATCATCATATTACATATGATTTCAAGATTTTACATCAAGACAGTTACATGTCTGCTAATGCTTTAGTCTTTTCCTATTTGCAAATTATGCATGCATGATGGCATATACTTTTATGCTGTCTGTGCATTAGCCTTTAAAATTTTTTGATTTTTTTTTTTCTTTTGTTAATATAACATGCAATATATTTCAGCACATGGCTTTTTCAAATAAGAAATACAACAAAGGCTACAAAAACAGCAGCGTCATCCACTTTTACTTTCCATTTACTCTTTCTATTTGTAACGTTAGACAAAATGTCAATAGCTAACTCGGTCAATATTGTTGAGTCAGTGCGAGATAGCCAGACTAATGTTACTCTACTTACTATACTATGAGATACATTGGCGTCTATATGGATTCTCTTGGTTAGTACATCCACTAACTAGGAAATTACCTTTGAAAAGTCTTCCCACAGCTAGCAAACTGCTTGTTTTTGCAGTCAAATGCTTCACACACAGATCATTTTCTGACTTGTCTCTGTAAAAGTGCGGAGTACCTAGATGGCGGCAAGTGACTTCACTTTTTTCAGGCAATCAGCAATCCAGTGCATAAATATAGATCAGTGGATTACACCCACAAAGTGGTTCCTTTAAGACATGAGGTGCCCTCTAAACTTTTGCAAAGGCATTCTTGATGTTTGTTCCAGTGTTATATTTATGGATCATCGGCCATTAACTTTTTTCTTTCCTCTCCAGCTACCTACGCTGCTGCTGTTCTCTTCCGCATCTCTGAGGATAAGACCCCTGATTACAAGAAGCGAGTCTCTGTGGAGCTCACGCATTCCTTGTTCAAACATGACCCAGAAGCCTGGGAGACGGTAGGTGGCGCCCTCTCCTGTCTGAATTTCACAATCCAAGACCTTATTATATTGAGAGCTGTCTTTTTATTGTGCTTAAAAAATTGTAACTGACCATTGCCTTTGATGTGGCAGGCTCACAACACAATCGTTGAAGGAAACTTTCAAGATGGTGAGTTTTCACTAACATGTTAGCACTATACAAACACTGCACCTGTCAGCCCACTGATGGAAATTTGCTGTAGTGATTAGGGCAGGGGACACTTTTATTTCTCTAGATATCTAAAACACTCAAACTTTTGTTCCCCTTAATGTTTCCTTTGTGTATAGAAGTGCACAAAGGTTCTCTGGGCTCTGACTTTCCTACGTTCAAACCGCATGCGATAGAAGCAGCAAAAAGCTTCTGCTGCTTCATTTTTTATGCTTGAACACATTAAGGTCCAACGCGCCTCAGGTGCATCTTTGAAGCACCTGAAGCGTCTCCAGTAAAGTGTGTAAAGATACGTATGATGCATCTGCTCCTCCCTAGTTCAATGGCAGAGAGCGGCTTTGCTATATATTTACTCTGATCAGTGGGTAAAAAGTAGTTTTAACATGTTTTTAAGTGAGAAAGTCCACCTCAAAACATAATTTGTGCAGTCAGTTCATCAAGATTACAATTCTGCCTTAAAATATTATTTGGCTGTCGGACCAGCACGAAACCCCCTTGGCAGTGCTCTGTCGCTGAAAATTCCCTTCAACAGCAGCCTCTCGTCGGCTCGCGTCTTGGGGTCTCCGCTACTGTTCGTGGTGGCTGGAAGGCTTTTTTTCATGGACATAATCCAAACTACAGGCGCCCAAATAATAAAAGGACATTTTGCCGGCAGGTTTTGACATTTTAAGTTAGTTTAGATGTTAAACTGTTTCAGAGGAGTGATCATAATGACTTACATCATCAGCGCTGTTTCTGTCTCCCTGCCAGCTCCCAAATGATTGGTTGATGTTGCACATTGAGCGGCAAAAGTAAAATCTTTCGCCTCAGGTGTTCAGAATCTCATGGGGTGCTGCTTTGATGCGTCAAGATGCATGCGTCAAGACTTTCCTGATGCTCGAAACATGCTGAAGGACCATTTAATGTGCCTTGATGCATATCAACAATTTACTTTTTGCATGTAAACTAGCAGCTTCTGCTGCCTCTATCGAGTGCGGTCTGAACGTAGCATTAGACTTACAACTTTTCAAGTTCATTCAGACAAAGTTCTGATTTAATAGACACAACTCTACATGTTTCTCTTGAACTCTGCTCCTTCTTACACTTTTCTTTCCATTGCTTTAGTCTCTTTCCTAAACAAATTATATCTACTATAAATTGATTTAGAGATGAGATTAACAGTGTGCCTGTGACAACTAACAAATTCAATGTGGTAATCCCCTGCAGAAATAGATGGTGGTTTCCAGGGCTATGGATACCCAGCTGAAATGCCAATGGACAGCATGAATGGACATATGATGTCGGAGGATTTTCAGGGTGGCGCGGCATATGACAGATACCCTGATCATTATTAACGGTTAGTATTGTGATGACCTCTTAAGAAAGAGTCAAAGATTCTGACGTTTTTGAGTTTAGGGGCAGAAGAAGTTCCCTTTGCAGTTTGCTGCAAGCAGTGAAGGAGACAAACGTGGAACAGGGTGCTCTGATTAAAATGACTAAAATGTACTTTTCTGGCATATGTATACAAAAAGCTTTATGTAAATTATGACCTAGATCTGCTTTGGGAGGATTGATCATTAGATTTTATTTTTCAAATAATAAAAACTGAAAATGTAGACTGTGGTAAAAGATCACACACCCTATTTTTTTACAGCCAGAGCTGTGATGAAAGGATTTAAATCAAGTCCGCTAGTTTATAATTGCTTTCTTACACTCGTGCTTTACAGAGACAATTCAACTAGATCATACAGTCAGATTGGTTTAAAGTTTTCTAAGAAAGAACAGCTGATTGCATTGACTCATTGACTAGAAAGTAGCTATCTGTCATTGAGATTAATTTAATTTACATTAGAGCTTCTAACTTCTGGATTAAAACTACAATGTTTATCAGATGTAATCTGGGAAACGGCCTGTAACCAATGGTTCTGAAAATGTATTGCTTATTATGAAGTAGGCCTACTTTTTTAACAAAGTTCTGATTCAACAATGTTTATATGGGGGATGGAGAATCATCCCCATATAAACTGTTACATGGGGATGATTCCCAATTTATCAGATTTTGGAATAAGATTTTATTTTGACTTATTAAAGTAGATTAAAAATATAATAAGGCTAAAACAATTAATCAGATTAGTCGTCATTAATCGATTATTGAAATAATCGTCAAATAATTTAGTAATTGATTAATCGTTAACTGGAGCATAGAGACTCTAAAACATGCCTTTAGCTGACAGACCAACCCACTTAGATCAGTAATTATATAAAAATTGTAAAATTAGTAAACATTTTGCATTTAAGTTTAAAAAAACTTTTTCATCTGTTAATGTTCTATCCAGAACATATAGAAAAGTTTTAACTTTGCCTGGCGTAAAAAGTCTTCTTTTAGGAACCTTTGAAAAAACAGATCATTAATCAATGAATCAAAAAAATTATTGACAGATTAGTCGATTTGCAAAATGTTAGTTGCAGCCCTAACCTAAATACAATTGAAACAATTATATTTAATACAAAAAGGTTTTCTGATTAGAGTTGCTTGGTTTCCCAATATTTTATCTGCTTTTTGCATGAGCAATACAAAATAATTTGATCCCAATGCTAGGTTGCTGTGATGCTTTAAATTTGAATTATGATAAAACAATTTTTTCTATAAGCTGAGGCCTAGGCAAATATGTTGTCATGACAATTATTAAAATAGTTTGAATTGCCTGTATTGGGTACTGGTATGTTTTGGGGTTATTTTCGTTAATGTGTTGTAGTATCTACAAGGGCCTCACAATGTTGGTAAAATATCAGTGTATAGAATGAGATTCCAATGTCGAATGTGCTGACCTCTTTCTCATCCTAACCGTGTTCCCTTCACTTTCTATGGAAATGTTGGAACTCACTGATATATACAACAGATTTATTTTAAGAAACTTCTGTCTGGAGCAGATTGGTGCAAAGTGTCGAAACTGTTCATCAACCCTCCTTCATCTTCTCTTTCTGCTGCCCAACAGGATGAGGAACGAGAAGAGGTGGAGGCAGACGACCTACAGTGGGATTTAGTGGCGAGGCAGATTGCATTCACCGGTAGAGATAACTCCCTCTGCTCTCCACCTTCTGTAAAATATGCAATGAGAGTTTGGGACTCACAACTTTAACAGGGCTCAACTTTGTGTTTTATATGAAAAAGTATGATTTTTTTTTTTTTTTTATAATGGAAGCTTTTAAGTTTTTGTTAAAAACCTTATAGAAATGTGTGCATGCGAGTGCGTGTGTTTATGCTTCTGGGTGGGTGTTCTATGCCAAAGAGATTTTAATTTTGTGATCATAATCATGTAGCCTCTTTATTTTTATTTTAAAAAATTAACTAGAGAATATTTGAGAAACCTGCATAGTGCACCTACTCACTACTGCTTTAGGCCTTTCTTTTTTTTTCTCTCTTGGTACACAGTCTGTACTGTCATCATTCTCCCACTGTGAGCCAGATATTGATTACATTAACATGTTCTTTAGGTGAGAATTCAATCAGGCAGAGCCGTTGCCCATCATGTAATCAGCTGTTGTGATTTTACTAGAATTGGAGATATTTTTCTTTTATTTTTCTGATGTTTTTTATAAGTTGTTCACTTTGATAACTTCACCATATACCCTCCAGTAATTTAGCAGTCTTTAATGTTTTGCAAGTGAAGTTTAAAAGGAAACTGATGTGTAGCTGTGGACCACAGCCTGTGGTTAAAATCACAACAACGGGGGTTTTTGGAGAGAAGATGGAGTCCGGATGGCATCGCAGCTGCCAGCGTACTACTGACAGGGAAATCTTTCTATTTCATAAAGAGTTTTTACTGAGATTTTGTTTAATAAAAATAAAGAATATATCAAAACTTCTGTAATTTCCATGTTTTGTTTTTGTTTTTTTCCCAAGATATGACTAAAATTTACATTTTAATCTTTCTTAATTTGGTCAAATACAATATTATTTACAATGTCAATATAAACACATTAAAAGCCTCAGAAACCCACAAGAATTCCCTGCACAAACTTGCATAACCATTACAGGTGTTTATAATTCCTCTAATAGAATGGTTTAGAAGTATTTCTATTTAAAAATAAACACACAAAACCTGTAGCATCAGTTAGTGAAAAATGCTGTAATCATATACTGCAGTGTAAATGAAAATAATATGTTTAAAAGTAAAAAAAGTTATTGAATAAAATTATATTGCCATTAATATTATTCTCCAGCCCATGTTCCCCATAACATGATGTGTGATGCTCTCACTAGATCCATAATTAATCGTTTGGGGTAGTAATAAAAGAAAATGCATGTTTTTTTCAGTTTTGTCTGCAAAATGTGGCTTCTTTATAAAGTGTAAAGTTTGCAACAACATGAGTAATGCATAAATGTTCCCATAGATGGGGAAATTCAGCTGTGACTAAGGCTAGACATAAGACTTGTACTCAGAACTAATATGAAAAGAAACAGCATTTTTACGTGGATATGTAGCACAAAAAGTTTGTTACTAGAGGTATTCAACTTCCCAATGGCATCCTATGCTTCTTGCTTTATTATGGGAGGCCTTAATGATGATCTGCATGTATATAATAGACAAAATGCTACCAATGTTGGTAGCTTTGCCATGAATAGTGTGCAATCCCAAAGGTAGTATACCAAATTAAATGAAAGGTTTTACTGTTACATTTCTGTGGATACCATTTCAATTAGAGATGAATGGAGATATCATTGCAGATAAGGCAGTGACATGTAGGTAAATGTAATTAAGAAAGAAATTAAAAGAATTGGGGTGCCATTTTTAATAGAGACTGCCAGAAGGTACAGAGATGAGATCCTTGGTGCGGCCATATGCTGGTGCAGTTGGCCCTGGCTTCCTCCTAATGCAGGACAATGGTAGACCTCATGAGGCTGGACTGTGTCAGCAGTTCCTCCAAGCTGAGGGCATTGAAGCGATGGACGGGCCTGACCTGAATCCAGCTGAGTACATCTGGAACATCATGTTGCACCACAGACTGTCCAATAGCTGGTGGATGCCCAGTGTGTCGCAGTGACTTCTTGTTGCAGCCGGGCGATTGGGGTAGTCATGGATCTCTGACCCCTGGTCACCACCAACCCATCCAAGTTCCTAACCAATTTTCCCTGCTCAGTGATGCACCCACAGAGACACCAGGTACCACTGTCAAATGTTTACCGGGGAACATAATGACTGACTTCACATTGTATATGAAATTTCTGGCTAATTAAGGATCATGTTAAATACAGTAAGATTTTTATTAACGTTGGTGGTAATGACACCCGGTTACGCCGATCGGAGGTCACTAAGATTAGTGTTGCTTTGGTGCGCGAGTTTGCTAAAACAACGTCCGTGATCCGGTCTGCGGTCACCTACAGTTTCGGAGAGGTGCAGCAGAGTGTCTGCGGTGTCTGTCGACCTGGTTTCTGAGTATAAATCAGCCTTAACAGCCTCTCAGTCCAGGTCTGGGAAGAGATCCCTCAGAACATCCATCATCTCATCAGGAGGATTCCCAAGTGCTGTAGGGAGGTCATACAGGCACATGGAGGCCACACACAATACTGAGCCTCATTTTGACTTGTTTTAAGGACATTACATCAAAGTTGGCTCAGCCTATAGTATTTTTCGACTTTAATTTCTTGTGTGACCCCAAATTCAGGCATCCAATAGTTAGTCAATTTATTTACACTGATACTTTTTGTGTTATTTTGTTGTCAGAACATTCAAATTTGTACAGAACAAATTATTCCTTTAGTATATTTCATTAATTCTGATCTATGATCCATTGTTTGAGCATTCCCTTTATTTTTTGTATACATTGTAGGAAAATATATTTCAGGTAGATGTGACTTTTATGCACGAATCAAATCAGTTGAACATGCAACGATGCGTTCCGAAAAATATTTAGAAAAAAGAAGACACTTGTCTGACAATTCCATTAAGGAAAAAATGTATTTTACTTGTTGAAAATCTTGCAGCAGAATTAAACATTTTACTGTTGATAAATACATTAAACAAAAATATAATCCACTTGAGAATGGTAACATAAATAGTTTCTATAATGGGGAATACAATAATCTATACATTTTGTTGATTATATTCCCTCCCTTCAACGTAGAATTCTCTGACATGCATTTTAAAGCAGGTATGGAGTTTGGTGGCTGGATGCTACAGGTAGCCATTAGAACACCAGGGGATTTTTGTCCAATAGCTTGAATGTTTATGTTCAGCTTGAAGTTGTTTCTGGTGAAACAACCATTGCATAAAAATATCTGAAAAAATATTTAATATAATGAAATCTCTTACTGTAAAAATTTAAATGATTAAGGCAAGACTTTTATCCAGAAAGTTGGAGAGAGCTCAAAGTCGAACATTTAAAGCCAAAGTATTGTCCTTTAACAAAATTGAGGCCTGGTTTATACAGCAAGACAGTAATGATGATTTTTGCCCCGGTCTTCCCCTGCTGAGACGGCTCGATTATTGTGATGGCTCTTCAAAAATTCTGATGAGATAATCCCACTATGTGGTTTGTTAAGAGGGATTTGATCCATTGGAGTCGTCACACCGACCTAGAATTATGGATATCCAACTTGTTTGACTTTCTTGGTCTGATATCCTAACGTCTTTAGGCTGCTCTCTGAGGGCAGACTCAACCTTTAGAATGTGATGTTTGGCTAATCAGAAAGAACTTAACTAAAATGTAGTAGAAAAAATCTATCTTGGATTGCAGGGCCATTATGTAAGTCTCAAACATCAATCCTTCGTTCTGAAACGCATACACATTTCCCAATACAATTTCCATGAACTAAGTTCCTCTTAAATAATTTACCAAGGGTACTCAAACAGGCCTATAAAGACCAAGTAATCAATGCAAAGAACCTTAGAAAATAAAATATACACTTTGGAATAGATTCTGTTTTATTCTACAACCTCATTGTTAACGTAACCACCTCGATTTAAAAAACATACAGTTTCAGTGAACATTTCAGCCGCTGATGATATACATCATGCAGATACGATCTACAGTTAGAGGTTAATTATATTACTGTGAGATTATTGCTTCATTTCATGCTTACAGATGTCTCCAATCAGACAACTACAGTGGCCGACAGGTGCAAACGCGCAATAATAGACTAAACGGGCTGCCAAAATGTGCGTGATGGTGACTGCAAAACACATAAGTACAAAAAACAAATGCAAAAGAAAAACCATGCAAAAGAAAAACAATGCAAAAAAAAAATTTAAACAGGTGAAAACATGAAACAAAAATTTAAATGAGCTGCAAACCCGCGTATGGTGCAAAGTCACACAAACACAAAACAAGCAAATGCAACAGAAAAATGCTGCAAGCAGAAGCCAAATTGGTCTAAACCTTCCGTATAAACAGGAAGTTAAGCTTTAACGCAGCATTAAAAAAAGTGGAATAAGAAAAGAGAGGTTAGTTATCTTTAATTTCATTGTCAAACACACAGTCTTACAGTATTAGAGAATAACAGCATAGTTATGTAAAGTAAATTAACTAACAGTCTGGTCCGATAAGGTTTGTTCCTTGTTCAACTCTCTCTAGTGGTTTGGAGCACTTCTGGTTTCCTTTTAGAACAAGTTTGCAGCTGTTTTGTTAATTGCATAATTTTCTTTCTGTGATTGAATCATTTCACTTTTGCTTGTGTTTTCTGCATTTTGTTGATTGCATTTTTTCCCTTCTATTTTAGCGATTGTATCATTTTTCGTTTGTTTTCTCTTGAATTAGTTTTTTCTTGAGTTGGGGTTTTCTAGACTTTGTGTTATACAGTCTTTGTGTTTGCAGCTCTTTTCGTTTTGTTTGCTTCTCTTGGAGTTTGCGTCCCACAAGTTTTTGCTGCTCGTTTCATAATTTACTGAGTCTGTGCACCTGTCAGCCACCGTAAATACTGCATGGAGAACATTTGCAACTATTTACATTTTGTTCAGTGGTTTGTATGTACATTCAGTTATTTACTAATGTGAATGTGTGCCAACAGAAATTTGTTCTTATTATTTCTGAGAGTAAATATGTTGAAACTAGAGTTGGTTAGGGATTAAATCTGGGATTATAGCAGGGGCATAATGTAAACAATGTAGACAGTTCAGTCAACAACAGAGCTAAAATATTAAGGGGTCTTATAAATTAAATGTATAATTTTCAGATTTAAAACAGGTAGAGTTTGTATTATTTTGCTCAGTTGATTCTTTTTTTTTAATTGTAGGTTTGGAATGAGTCCCTCATAAACATCACCTCCACTTTAGTGATGTTAGGTTTACTAACAGTGAAGCTTGAAGCAGGAAGGGTATCTCTGATCTGCTGTCCTTCAGTATTCAGATCACATGATCAAATAAGTGCATTGAGTGCATGATGTTCTCATCCTGGATAGAAGAAAGTAAAAGACCAAGTTTGAATTATTTTATTAGCTACAGCCATGACTCTGTTAAAAAAAAAGGTTAGTAAACATCAAACCTTTTGGCATGTAGTCACGAACTCCTCAATGGTGACCACTCCATCTTTATTCTTGTCCATTTTCTGGGAAAACACGATGTATAGACACAAAAAGAGGAGCTCTGTCATTCTAATAAGCATGATCACAATATATATAAAAAATATATATGTAGATTTATTTTTCACTTTACTGCTAAAATGTATATCATAGTCTAGACCTGATGTGTTTTTTTGTTTTTTGGACTTCCACAACCGAAAGAAAAATACATATATTTATCTTCGATATCCTTGTCACTGTTTGAGATAAAAAGTACAAATAAATAAAAAAACATACACCTTTATCCACTCTACTGCTATGTAGAAAAGTTCAAACATTTACAAACAAACTCATATTAGAAACACCCTTAATAAAATTATCCCTCGACCACACCTTTGTTAATGATAGATAGTAATGAAAGTACTTAATAAATATATGAGCCCATTGGAGTCATCAAAACAGATAAGATTTTTATGTATTTATCCCTTAGCAACAGCCAGAGGAGTAGAATACTCAATAAAAAATGTAAACCACTACACCAGAATTTATTTATTAGACAAAAAAATGTTAACTGTGTAAATATGTTTTATATTGGCTTAACACTCCTTCTTTTATCTTCCCGTTAAATACATTTCTATCACCAGTGTATGTAACCTACAGTGAAATAGTCACTACAGTGTTAATGAAATTACGTGATTTTTTTTAATGTAATTTTCAGTTTTAGCATAAAAATATAACCTTTCCTTATATATTTTAAACTATTTTACCACCACAAATGGTATAAATCCTGACTCTCCCGAACAACTCTCTTATCCCAAAGAGTTGGAAGGTTTTAATCAGGGCTTCTTCCCTTGTTATTTCCCACTCGCTTCGTGAATGTGCAATAATGGCTTCGCTCTGAGCCTTGAAGCTAACCTGTGTTGTTATTGTAAGTCCTTCCTGATTTAAACTCATAATGGCAGTTTTAGTCCAACTATACAAAATCTACACTTTCTCTTCATTGGATCAGCCTACTCATTATATGTGATCCAACAAACCCAAAACTGAAACCCAAAACAGGACAATGTCTTTCTAAAAATGAAACAAACAAAAACAAACAAATTAGTAATTCTAAACGAAGCAAAATAAAAAAAATAAAATATAAACACATTTATTTGGGCTCTCAGTTATATAACTAGTTTTATGGTATCACTGTTTGTCAGTTTGGATTTTCTTATCAAACCTTTGAGAACAGCAACATTTTTGCAGTAAATATAGATTTAAAAAAGGGGAAAAAATCTGTTTAAACAGATGTTTTGCTGGTTGTATTATGTTTAGTTTAACCGTATGTTTGATAGTTTCAGTATTTTACCTGAAAGAAGCTGTCGACATGCTCCTTTGGAGCGCTGTCCCTCATGCTGGGATATGTACTCTTCCCCATCATGTTATAGATGGAGTGCATTATATCTGTCATCTCCTGAACATACGGGAGAATGAAAGCAATAAAAAAATCATATTGAAACGGGTTAAATCTGTGACACGCAAAGTGAGGTGTTCAAGTACTTCTCTGGTGATGCAGCCATCCTTGTTCAGATCATACAGATTGAAGGCCCAGTTGAGTTTGTCAGTGATTGATCCTCTTAAAATGATGGACAAACTTACTGCAAAATCCTACATCCAGGAAGCAGACATTTATAACTTGAATTAGTTGACTAAAAGTCAGTTTACTGGTCTATCATATTAAAACAGGAAACAGAGAAAATTGGTCAAAGATCTGATGCAAATGTTTCTTTTAAAACTGATTATATATTAAGGAGTCAATTTAAACAGAAATGAATGAGAGTAAAGATAAATGCCTCACTTCAAAGCTAACCAGTCCGTTGTTGTGGGTGTCAAAGGCTTCAAACAGGAAATGCGCATACATACTGGAATCTAGAAAAAAAAATTTAAGAAAAAAAATCTGAATTTCTCTTGTTTCTGCACCTACAAGACAATCCCATGCTGTCTACATAAGTACACTTTTAATTTGATTTTCAATTTAAACTTCTAATAATGTCTGTCAGTGTACATACATACACCTACAGAGGAGTACTTATGACGCTAATTCAAAACTGCAAAAATAAAAAAAAATTCTTATTCCATTCTCTTTACACAGAGGGCTCTTTATACGCTGAATACATAAAAGTTATAGTAAAAAAAAATGTATGAAGGGTTGACACTCGCTGACCTCCCTGTGGGAAGAACTGGGAGTAGATGCTTTTAAATGTGTCCTCGTTAACAACACCACTGGGGCATTCCTGTAGATAGGAAAATATAAGTCAGTAATACATCACTATAATCTGCTCATACATGTACAGTTCATAGGAGAATCAATGCTGCAGCTATACTGCAGTATTAATGGGATACTTGCTGTTGATACATTTTTAAATATTGATAATTCCCTGGTGTTTTCAAACTGACATTTTTGAATCCTCTGTAGAGAACCTGCAGCTCCTTTTTGCTGAATTTAGTCTGTTGAACAAGACTGTCTAGCCCCTCTGGTCTGTAGCACACAGTGGACAGCTCCCCTTCATCAGTTATGCTTCCTGCTTAAAGAGCAGAAACACGGTGACATGTTTTCCACAGAGAGCAACACTGAAATCACTCAATTTTAAAAGGGTAAAAATCAGCTGATAGGTAGAACGTGAGTGTGTAACTTGCTTTGATTGATTGAAGCAGTGGAGCTGGAATGATAGCAGGGCAGCAGTTTTAGGAAGCGTTGCTTGATTGTCTTTTTGTTGGGTTTGGAAAGATGGTTACCTGGAAACAGCAAAGGGAAACACACAGCATGATCAAGTTTAAAGGAGAACTTCTATGATTGGACGTTTAGGTACACTGGTATGTGACAGGAGTCTGAGCTTTAAGATGAGTGTAGCATCAACCAACATGGACAGTGCAGTAGATTGTGGGATGTTAAGACATTGAAGTTCGAGCAGATTTGTTGACATTTAGTTTCATTATTTCAACAATTCAGTTAATGAATCCTTGTTGTGTATCAGCTTAATTAATCATTTCCAAGACCAGAGGGGGGACATTTTTTTTATATATATTGCATATAGCCGAATGATTATGCTCCTCTTGTGTAAATACACTATATTGCCAAAAGTATTTGCTCACCCATCCAAATTATTGGAATCAGGTGTTCCAATCACTTCCATGGCCACAGGTGTATAAATTCAAGCACCTAGGCATGCAGACTGTTTTTACAAACATTTGTGAAAGAATGGGTCGCTCTCAGGAGCTCAGTGAATTCCAGCGTGGAACTGTGATAGGATGCCACCTGTGCAACAAATCCAGTCGTGAAATTTCCTCGCTCCTAAATATTCCACAGTCAACTGTCAGCTGTATTATAAGAAAATGGAAGTGTTTGGGAACGACAGCAACTCAGCCACGAAGTGGTAGGCCACGTAAACTGACGGAGCGGGGTCAGCGGATGCTGACGCGCATAGTGCGAAGAGGTCGCCAACTTTCTGCAGAGTCAATCACTACAGACCTCCAAACTTCATGTGGCCTTCAGATTAGCTCAAGAACAGTGCGCAGAGAACTTCATGGAATGGGTTTCCATGGTCGAGCAGCTGCATCCAAGCCATACATCACCAAGTGCAATGCAAAGCGTCGGATGCGGTGGTGTAAAGCACGCCGCCACTGGACTCTAGAGCAGTGGAGACGCGTTCTCTGGAGTGACGAATCGCGCTTCTCCATCTGGCAATCTGATGGACGGGTCTGGGTTTGGCGGTTGCCAGGAGAACGGTACTTGTCTGACTGCATTGTGCCAAGTGTAAAGTTTGGTGGAGGGGGGATTATGGTGTGGGGTTGTTTTTCAGGAGCTGGGCTTGGCCCCTTAGTTCCAGTGAAAGGAACTCTGAATGCTTCAGCATACCAAGACATTTTGGACAATTCCATGCTCCCAACTTTGTGGGAACAGTTTGGAGCTGGCCCCTTCCTCTTCCAACATGACTGTGCACCAGTGCACAAAGCAAGGTCCATAAAGACATGGATGACAGAGTCTGGTGTGGATGAACTTGACTGGCCTGCACAGAGTCCTGACCTCAACCCGATAGAACACCTTTGGGATGAATTAGAGCGGAGACTGAGAGCCAGGCCTTCTCGTCCAACATCAGTGTGCGACCTCACAAATGCGCTTCTGGAAGAATGGTCAAAAATTCCCATAAACACACTCCTAAACCTTGTGGACAGCCTTCCCAGAAGAGTTGAAGCTGTTCTAGCTGCAAAGGGTGGACCGACGTCATATTGAACCCTATGGATTAGGAACGGGATGTCACTTAAGCTCATATGTGAGTCAAGGCAGGTGAGCAAATACTTTTGGCAATATAGTGTATCAGGGCATGTTTTACTGGACAAGATAATGGCAGTGTTTTAAGCTTTTGGTGTTGTTAGACTACCTGCCCTATTTACTTTGGATAGAAAATTGCCCCCTGATATATTCTGTATTTATTTATTAATTTTTACAGTGTAAATAATGTGTGGCCCCAGGTAGCTTAAGTCTAGGCTTAAAACTTTCCTTTCAGATAAAGCTTATATTTAGAGTGGTTATCCTGAGCTTTCTTTATAGTTCTGCTGTCATAGGCTTGGGCTGCTGGAGGACATAAGGGCAATCTTTTATTATTCTGCTTCTCTGTTCTCCAATTCTGCCGTTTTTGTTAGTTCAACCACTAACTTTGGCACCATCCCAGCATGTGTTTGTTGATAGCATGTCAGTATCTTCTAGCTTAAATCAGACTGAACAAAGGTTTTATTAAGAACATCCATCTGTCTGGGACTGGTGCCTATCTCTAGCTGTCAATGGGTGAAAGGCGGGATACATCCTAAACAGGTTATCAGTCCATTGCAGGACAACACAGAGAAATACAAACACATACTCAACCCTCAAGACAAATTAGAGAAGTCAATTGACAGTACATCCATACATCCATCCATTTTCTAAACTTTGGGACAACCATGCATACCTACACCTAAGGGCTAAAACTTAACCTAACAGCCATGTTTTTCGAGTGTGGGAAGATGCCGGAGTACCCGGAGAGAACAAACGCATGCATGGGGAGAACATGCAAACTCCCTGCAGAAAGACTCTGGGCCAGGAATCGATCCAAGTAGTTTCTTTGCTACAAAGCAACAGTGATACAAACTGTCCCACCCTAATTAGCAATCAACATATTAGACAAATCTCTGAACTAAAATATATGAACTGTGACCTGACAATGTAATGTACAGTAAAGAGCGTCATGGAAGAAGTTATTACTCTATATGATTTTTTTTCCTTTTAAAACATTAAATAATGTTAGTGGATGTAGTAAACCAGAGAGATACACCATTATGGTCCACTGCCCTAATGAAAATATATTTTCTTTGAGGGTTCTTAAATTGGAGCATGATATATACTCTCAAAGACCCTTCTTTTTCTGGTTTTAGAAATGTTGTTTAAAGGATTTCTCAATTCTCTGGGTAAGGCAGTCGCCTGGCATGTCCGAGTCACTCTGTGATTTAGCGGAGGAAATACTAGAGGTTTCAGGCTGATTTGGATAGCTTTTTATACATAATAAATTAACCTATGTGAACAATCTATACTCAGACCAACAGCGTTTAATAAAAACATGTATTTAATAATATGAAAACAAGTCTGAAAAAAATAATAAAAAGCAAAAAACTTTAGAAATATGTATAAATGTTTTAAGTCACTAGAGGGCGGTGTTGAGTTAATCAATCTGCTTCTGGCTGTAAAAGGATTTCACTGCTGAGAGGGTTTAGCTCCATTGCAGCAACAGCAAACCTCATTAGTAATAAAACACATTAATCAATGTCTAATAAACAAGTATTATAAAAGACAACTGGCTTCTTAAATAGCAAACTTCAATTAGTTCTCTGACAGTAGAGGGATAATGTGATACAGGCCTGAACAGCAGGAAGTCCCACCTTTAGAAACTTTGCACGAATTGATTATGTTCGTGACTGATCTTAGTTAGAAATCTCAAACTACATTTTCTTTGTTTACCTCCCCGTTTCTGATGTCCCTCTGATTGGAATGAGCTGGTTTCCATCAACAAAGAGACACTTTAGTGTAAAACCAGTAACAGTTCCCAGGCTGAGAGAAACCTTTAAGTTATATTATCCCTGTTATCACTGACAGTAAATGGCAACATGTCTCCTTTGAAAAAATAAAACTTGGCAGCTGTATAGCCATCTGGAAGAAAACATCAAATTTTAAACAGCAAACTGATGATGGAAGAAAACATAAGGGTAAGTGGTAAGTAAAAGTATACAGAGATATTATCCTACTTAGAGATTTTATTAGCATTACCTTAAATGGGCATCCTTTAAAGTATTTAAATTTAGATTCTTAAGCATACTCCACTAACAATCTATTTTTCTTCCCTAAACCTTTAGCCCCAACAGAAGAGTTACATGTTTGAACAGTGGTTTAACATTAAATTGAAAGTTGCTATGTTTTAGCCTTACATTTTTATTACCGACTGATTATAGTTTGCTGTCATTTAGTTACCAAACTGACAATGTGTCTTACGCTGCTGTCAAATAGATAAATCATTAAGTTGCCAATATCTCTTGTTTCTTTACACTTGAATTGTCCAGCCCCATGAATGAATCAATGGGTAATTAGCACAATTTTAAAGGGTTTTTAGGGAGGATTGGTATTAACAGGGAGAATTTGGGAGTATTTTCTGTAAGAGCAATCTAAAACTTTATGTGTAGTCTGCATAAGCATTTCCCTTACAAACATGGTTTAATTAAATGAAGATAAACAGACTTTCAAGAAGAGGAAGCATAAAAAACAGAAACAGACTCACCCTCACCTAAAACAAACTCCCTTTAAATTGAAATCATTGGGATGCATCTGAAATTATAAGATATTTCTCCACTACATCTCCTATACTAACAAATGGTTTGTCACACTGACTTTTGAAGCCTATTTAGTTGTAAAATTTAAATGAAGTATAATAAACCCTCCTTTCATCTTTATTCATATATACAATATTCAGAGATTTTTTTTTCCTATGATATGCTTATGAACATCATAATTATCCAGTTCCCACTATCTGTAATTTTACCAGAGTAATTAATCTACAGCAGCTATTTCTGCCTCTATTTTTTCTGATTTAACAAAAAATGAATTCAACAAACTTTATATCATTTGTGGAATATTATACATCCCACACATTAACCATGTATGTATACCACTAATACATCACTCAATAGTCTGATGACCAGATCCTAAAATTTAAACTCGCATACATTCATATTCTTTTGCATAAGAATTTTTCAGCCATTTTAAATAATGTAGCTAAAACAGATCAGAATATTTTGTACCAACCTTTCTCCATCCATATTGTCTAGACTCCTTTTGTGAGGCCTTGTACCTATCTCCACGTGTCATTGAGAAAGAGATAACCCTGGACAGCTAGCCGGTCTATAACATGGAAACTTAGTGATAAATGAACCTAGCAGTCATGTTTTTGGAAAGTTGATGAAAGCAGGAGTACCTGGAGAGAATCCAACAATTCAATTCAATTCAGTTTATTTATATAGCGCCAAATTCACAACACATGTCATCTCAAGGCACTTTACAGTTCAACCAGATCATACAGTCAAATTGATACAAAGTTTTCTATCTAAGGAAAACCAGTTGATTGCATCGACTCAAATACAATCCCTCACACTAAGCATGCTTGTAGCGACAGTGGAGAGGAAAAACTCCCTTTTAACAGGAAGAAACCTCCAGCAGAACC